ACCAGCTTCCTTCACCATCACAAGAAATCTGCCACACGGACTGGGGCACATGTGCCTGCATTTAGGGCCAACGGGAGAAAGAAACCTCTGCTCCTCATAGAATCAACATCCTTCCCCCACTTCAGTCTGATTGGACCAACCTGTGGGCTAATGACAATCACCAGGGTGATGCCGGGTATTGATTAGCAGAAGCCTTGGCTCTTGAGCCAATTGCTGTCGAAAAGGATGGTTGTGCTGTGATTGGCCTAGATCTGGGATGAAGTTAGCTTCCTCCAAGTCATCTGGACTCTGTAGGGGAGGGGTGGACACTGGAACAAAATGGAGGTTCTTTAGAAAGCAGGGAGGAGGGAGGGGTGGCTCAATCCATTATGCGTCTGCCTTTGGCTCAGGTCATGCCAGGGTCCTGGGGTCAGGCTCCCTGCTCCGTGGGGAGCCTGCTTCTCTGCCTCTCTCTCCCTCTGTCAAATAAATAAATAAAATCTTTAATAAAAAAAATTAAAAATGTTTTAGAAAGTTGGGGGGGAGGCATGGATTCTGTGAAAACAACCCACGGGGCTCTCAGAGCTACTGGATGAAGGTGTGAAAAATCAAGCTGACCGAGGACATGCAAAAGGATTGCTGCGCATCACTGAAGCCTCGTCTGAGGCAGACTGGAGATTGTAAGTCGTAGCACAGACCCTGCTGGTGTAGAATATAGCAGGGGTCCGCCCAGGACTTCACTAGCCATGTCAGTGACTGAAGACTTAAACTCTGGTTGGTTTTAGGAGCATGGCCCTGGAAGAGCCCCAGCTCATCCCCACGCGCAGGAAGGCATCTGCCCCTCCCCTTTCCTCAGGAAGATGAACACCTGATGTCTGAAATGGAAACCTACTGGTGTGTATGGCCTCCAGGTACTCAGAGCCACAAGCTGGGCAGGCCAGTGGGGACCCTGGAGCACACCCAGTCTGGAACAAATGGAGGCAGCACCAAGAGGAGGAATGGACAGCAAGGGCCGGAGGCTGCGGCCAGCAGGACTCAGCTGCAGCATGGATGGACCAGCGATGCTAAGCAGGTGGAAGAAGAAGGGATGCTTCAGTGAGGTGAAGGGGGAGGGACGGCAGCCTTGCCTGACCGCCACCAGGACTCTCTCCTCAGTGCTGCTTGTGTGCGCGGCAGTGATGCACCCCGTTTCATTGTTGCGTGGCGTTCCATTGTATGAATGTGCCACTATTTGTTTACCCATTCACCTGATGGATAAGTACGTTATCCATTTGAGTTATCGCCCATGTTAAGCTACTTCAAATCGGTATACAAGTCTTTATGGATTTCTCTTGAGTAAATGCCTGGGAGTAGAATGGCTAGGACATATGAAGTGTATGTTTAACTTTTTAAGAAACCACCAGATTGTTTTATGAAGTGATGATATCATTGTACATCGCCACCAGAGTGCATGAAAGTTTTGCTGCCCCCCCCTTCCTCACTAGCACTTGGTGTCATCAGTTTCTCATCTTAGACATTCTAATAGGAATGTAACATTAGCTTGTCATGGTTTGAATTTGCTTTTCCCTAATGGCTAATGATGTGGAGCCTCTTCGTGGACTTATTTGGCATCTCCATTTCTTCCTTGATGAAGTATCTGTTCAAATACTTTGCCCATTTAAAAAATAAATTTGATTTTTGGGATGCCTGGGTGGCTCAGTCGGTTAAGCATCTGCCTTGGCTCAGGTCATGATCTCAGGGTCCTGGAATCGAGTCTCGAATCGGGCTCCCTTCTCAGCCTGGAGCCTGCTTCTCCCTTTGACTTCTGCTCCCCCTGCTTGTGCTCTCTCGCTCCCTCTCTCTGACAAATAAATGAATAAAATATTTTAAAAAATAAAAAATAAAGCTGTTTTCTTATTTTTGAATTTTGAGAGCTCTTTAGGTATTCTAGATACATCCTTTATCAGATCTCTGGTTTGCAAATGTGCGCTCTCAGTCTGTGGCTCGGCTTTTCATTCTCTTCAGTGTTTCTCAAAGAGCAGAAGTTCTTAATTTTGACAAAGTCCAATTTATCAATTTTTGCTTTTATAGATTATTTTTGATGTATCTAAGAAATCTTTGCCTAACCCAAGGCCACGCATTTTCTCCTTTGTTTTCTTTTTTTTCAAGATTAGCTCCATTTTAATTCATTTCACTGCAATTAAATAAACATACACTTTCCACTATATTAAATACTCAGATCTGGTTGTTTGAGTCTCCTTTGTTTTCTTCTAGAACTTTTGGAGTTTTAGGTTTTACATTTAGATCTATGATCCATTCTGAGTTTCATTTTTATGCATGGTGTGAGGTAGGGATTGAAGGTCTCTTGTACACACTCTTTTTTAATGTGGGTATTCTACTGTTACTGAACCATTTGTCAAAAAGACTATGCATTCTTCAATGAATTTTCTTTGCACCTTTGTCAAAAACCAACTGACTGTAAGGGCGCCTGGGTGGCTCAGTCAGTTGGGCGTCTGACTTTGGCTCAGGTCATGATCCCAGGGTCCTGAGATTGAGCCCCACATCGGGCTCCCTGCTCAGCGGAGAACCTGCTTCTCCCTCTCCCTCTGCTTCTCCCCCTGCTTCTGCGCTCTCTCTCTAATTTATTAGAGAGAGAGAGAGTAAGAGAAAGAGAGAGCATGAACAGGGTGGGGGGCAGAGGGAGAAGCAGACGCCCTGCTAGGTGCAGAACCTAATGCAGGGCTTGATCCTGGGACCCCGAGATTATGACCTGAGCCGAAGGCAGACACTTAACCACCCAGGCACCCCAGCTGCCAGTTTTATTTATTTTTTTAAGATTTTATTTATTTATTTGACAGAGAGAGAGCAAGCACAAGCAGGGGGAACAGCAAGCAGAGGGAGAAGGCTTCCCGCTGAGCAGGGAGCCCGATGTGGGGCTCGATCCCAGGACCCTGGGATCATGACCTTAGCCAAAGGCAGACGCTTCACGACTGAGCCACCCAGGCACCCCAACCGCCAGTTTTATTTTAATGTGGACAGTGAAAGAGATAGATGACTATCACTGCCTTTGCAGTTTTCTGTAAGTCTAAAACTACTCCAAAATATAAAGTTCAGAGAGAGATTGAGATTGATTTGGAACTTGCCCATGAGCATCGAAGCTTCCCATAGCCCTTACCTAGACCACAGAATTCTCTGCAGTGGGTCTCAGCAGACGTGTGGGGTGGAGAGGTGGCTGGCTGGGCTGATGTGAGGGGCGTTGGACTAGGGTCAGGTCTCCCACTCCTACCATTTCTAGTCCCCGGAGCATCTGGAGCATCTGTCTGCGCCACAAGTGCGAACCCAAAGCTTCCTCCTCTTTCTGCCCTCAGGGTTGCAGCTCATTCCCCCCTGCCTCCCCAGCTCCTCTTTGCCAAGGCATGGGAGTGCAGGCGCAGGGAAGTAGGGCTGGAGCGCCATGTGAACTAAGAGAGGGGTGGATATTCAGGTGACCGAGGGGAAGGGCCAGTCATTAGAAGTCTTCTTTATGTGAGGCAGGCTCCATAATCTACCACAACAGGTCCCGAGACTCTAATTGAGATAGAAAACGGGCTGGTGAAGTTCCAGTTCCTCCTCTCTCCTAGCAGTTGTGAACGAAGGCCATCTAGAGAGGAGTCGTCTCTGTCCCTCTGTCCACATCCTGGCGCTGTTGCCCTTGGCAGCCTGGGAGCTTCCCAAGGGCGGGGACTGGCGCTTGGGGCCCTACGGAAGGGGAAAGAAATGCCTAAAGTGTTTTGGGATGTCTTGGAGACAGACAGATTCGAGGAGTCAAGAGACTTTTATCTCAGATCTTGACTCTGCCACTGTTTCTATAGTGGCCTTGACTAGTCACTTTCTCTCCTTATAAAAAGAGAAGTTGAACTAGATGATCTTAGAGATCCCAACCATCTCAAAAAGTGTATTATACTTTATGAGAAGACCATATATTTGTTTTTGTCTCCCCAGCATCTAGCACAGTGCCTGGCACATAATAAGGGTTCAAGAAATGCTGTGGTTAGTGAATGAATGAATGAATGAATGAATGAATGAATGAACACATGAACTAACAAAATAGTAGAAAAAGAAAAGGATCCAAAGTGGAGTTCTTAGATGAGCCAGCTGGTGGCATCACCTCTCTACATAACCACGGGGGTGCTGCTAGTTTCAGACCAAGGGAAGGATTCTGATTAGAAATGAATACAGGTAGGGGCGCCTGGGTAGCTCAGTCGTTAAGCATCTGCCTTCAACTCAGGTCATGGTCCCAGGGTCCTGGGATCGAGCCCCGCATCGGGCTCCCTGCTCATCAGAAAGCCTGCTTCTCCCTCTCCCGCTCCCCCTGCTGTGTTCCCTCTCTCGCTGTGTCTCTCTCTGTCAAATAAATAAATAAATAAATAAACTCTTTAAAAAAAAAAAAAGAAAAGAAAGAAATGAACACAGGTAACAAGAACCTGACGTTTCCCATGGAGAGCAGGACGCTGGAATCCTCACCCAGCTTCTGTGTTCCACAGATATCTTCACTGCCAGACTGGCAAGGTGAGGAGGACGCACGGCCCCGACAGACAGACGGACTGACACGGAGGACACAGGAGCAGCCCCACCTGGGGGGCTCTCCTGCACTGGGACGGGGCTTCCGCCTTCTGCCACCACTTCATACCCATCCCTTGCTGGAAGACCCAAACATCGGGGCTTCCAGTCTGGGTCTCTCCTAACAGGTTCATCAAACCCACAGCTGTTGGTGGTCCTAAAGGCCCCTCCCCTCCCCCAGCACGCTGAGGGAGTTGAAGATCAGACTTCTTAATGGGTGGGCGGAAGGCAGGAAGGTCTTGAGTATATTGAAAAAGTCCCTCTCATCTACTCACCTCCCGCCTTCTCCCCGCCCCCCCATCCCGGCACATTCTGTAAAGGGTAGGGATCTGGGCACAAAAGGGGAAGGCCCAGCGAGGCGTTCTTTCCAGTTATAGGACCGAGATCACAGGGAGACAGAACGAGGTGCGGTGAGGGTGTATCTCAGCACCCGTACCCCTGACATGAGCTCGGAGATCCGAGGAGAGGGTGGGGGCGCTGCTGGCCTCTGGCTCCACAGACTAGAGCAGGAAAGGGTGAAATGGCTGGGGGGGGGGGTGGTGGGGCACCCAGCGGGGAGAACAGGAAGCTGTGACTTCCTCTGCCCTTTCCCTCCCAGCCCTTAGCCTCAAGGTCACTTGCTGCAGTGAATTCTGACCTGTGTTTGAGTTGGCACGCGTCCACGGGCTTGGTGACAATAGATAGCTGTGTGATGCCCGGCTCCTTTCTGCGATGGACACCCCAAACTTTAAATAATAATCATTCATGCAAATAGCAACATAAAAAGTGCTTTTTTCACGTTTTATTTTATTTATTTTTTTAAAGATTTTATTCATTTATTTGAGAGAAAGAGAGCACAAGTGGGGTGGGGGCACGGGGGAGGCGAGGGCAGAGGCAGAGGGAGAAGCACACTCCCCGCTGAGCAGGGAGCCCGAGGCTGGGCTCGATCCCAGGACCCTGGGATCATGACCTGAGCCAAAGGCAGATGCTTGGCGACTGAACCACCCAGGCGCCCCTCACATGTTTTATCTCATTTAATCACACCAATCCTGTGGAGCAGAGACTTTTGTCTGAAATTTTTAACAAGAAAGCCAAGGCTCGGAGGAGTGATTTACCAAAGCCACACATTCAGTGAGGAGCAGACCCGGAACTCCAGAATCTCTGCTCTCTCTCGGACACCCGTCTGCATTCCATGCCTCCGTGTCCCCCAGCCCCTGCCCCCAGGCCCCAAGGGAGCACTTTCTGCAGAGAAGGGGGCCTCTGTGTGCAGTCAGGAAAAGAGGGGGCTCCAGTTTGGTTTCATTGCTCAGACGGACGGGGTACCTCTGGCCTTCTCCCTGTGTGGAGGCTTGGGGCTGCCCCCCACAGTGCAGAATTCCCCCTCGCCCCCTCCAGCTCTGCCCGCTAGAGCCCTTCCTGCGCACAGGGGTGCACAGACCCGCGCTGCTGTCACCACGGCCCCTCAGGAGGTGCCCGGGCACCAGCTCTCACGCCTGGCGGCGTCCATGCCCCGCTGCCCACGGTCTAGGGCAACGCCTGGGAGGCGGTGTGCGGAGTGCCAGCAACGGCCATGCCGTCCTGTCCGTCCCTAGCCCTGAGGGTGGCGGGCGCCCTGGCCGGTGGGCTTGTGGGGGCGGCCGGCTTGCTGGAAAACCTGGCCGTGCTCTGGCTGCTGGGCACCTGTGCTCCGGGAGCTCCTGGCTCGGGCAGACAGAGGGCCTGGCCCTCACTGTCCCCTTCTGGGCAGCTGCGTCCACGCGGGACTTCCACTGGCTCTTTGGAGGTGCCCTCCGCGAGGTGGTGCTGAGGGCCAGCATCTTCCACGTCGACGCCGGCATCTTCCTCACTCCCGCCAAGTGTTGCCGGATACCGGTGGTGGCCGTGGCCGTGGGACCAGACAGCCACCTCTCTTCCAGGCCTGCGTGGCCACCCCGGAAGTGTGGGCGGGTGGGGGCTGTCTTTAGGGCCCAGGGCGAGGTGTGGGGCATGCATCTGTGTCTGCTGCACTTTCCCCGGCAGGTGCCAACTACAGAGAACGGCACTGGCCTTCACGGCGCCTTGGGCGCCATCACGCCACCTGCTGCTGGCCTTCGTGGCCCGCTCTGTCTGTACCCGGAGGCCTCCTCCTCCTTCCGCGGCTCCCCCAACCAGGTGGTCACTGGCTGGAGCGTCCTGGTGACCTTTGACCGGATGCCCTGGGATAGCATCTTTCTCCACCACCCATAGCTTCATCTCCCCTGTCACCACCTGCCCGGGGCACAGCAAGAGCTGCCCCAGCCCCGTGCCGTCCTGTCTCCTGAGGCAGGAGCCTGATGGACCCCGGCAGACACCTTCAAGAATCAGCGAGCAAGGCTGTGGAACTGGTGGCCCCGAGGGACAGAGGCAGGCGGCGGGTGGAGAGCGCACTCCCGCTCTGGCAGAGGGGCCCTCGGACCGCGGCCACCGACTGGGACAAACAGACACCTGGGTGAAGGGTGCTGAACACCCTCCTCTCTTCCTGGGCTCCGTCGGGGTGGAATCATCCACCGCGGGGAGAGCCAGCCTGGGCCGCTGCACCCTCGGGGAGGCTGGTCTTTGATCCCCCGCGGGGGTGGCGGGACGCGGCTGGAGGGTCACCTGGGGGCTGAGTATGACAGAGCTCAGGTCTTCGTGCATGGGGAGGCATGGATGGCAATAGCGGAAAGGCAGAGGATTGGCGAATAAGCCTCTGGATCATCACAGTTGTCTTGACCTGTCACGCTTCCATCTCTGGTTCAGTGTGAGCAAAAGGATTCTTTGCTCCATTTCTGCCTCCTGGGAGAATTTCCCAAGGGTTCTAGACTAATGGATCGGAGGTGAGTGCCTCTTTCCCTCCGTCTGTCCTCCCACACACCCCTACCCACACTTAAACAGGTGTTCCTTGTTCTCTGGTGCCAGAGCCAAATACCCCCCACCCCCCACCGGCCATCTCTGCCTTATAGCATCTCAGTGGTGCCCACGGAAGCCTGGTGCCTGCAGAACTCAGCTGAGAAGGCTGGAGCCCCCTGCACGGAGAGGCCCCCTGTGAGGCGCTGCTGGACCCCTGGCATGGGCCCAGCCCCAAGTGTAAAAACCGCCTATCCTTTAACCAGGATTTGCAGGGAGAAGTGGAGAGAAGTCAAGGATGTGGGTGGGGCGTAGGGAGGTGAGAGGTGGGGAAGGGGTAGGGAGAAGAGGGGCCTCAGGTGTGTCCAGAGAAGTGGGAACCAGAGCGGGAGACTGGTGCGAGGGTCCCTCCCTGCCCCGCGCGCAGATCAGGAGCACCGGATTCACATCCTAGCTCCAACACGAACCAGCGGAGAGACCTCGCTAAGTTACTTCTCTCTACTGGTTTTCTCATCTGCACAATGGGGTGTTGAGGATTCAGCGGTGCCCGAAGTAATGTGTTGGCTATTGCTCTTAACACTTCATGGAAAATGGAATCCGACAGAAGGAAGAGGAGGAAAAGAAAGGGAAGGAAAAGGGGGCAGCTGGGAGCTGGGGACCGGGAGCCAGAGAGGTCTCATCTGGGATGATGTTCACAGACTCTGGAGTAAATGAAAGTTGTACGTGAAGACCTGGGTGAGGGATTGGCCCCTCCAGTCCCTTCTGAGGAGCGTTCTCCAGGGCAGCGGGTCTGCCTTTGGTTTCCGTATCCATGGAGACCCCGTTAGAAGGGGGGTCAGCCCCTGGAAAGGAGGGAGGTGGCAGAAGCTAGACACGGTGGAGCTCCCACTTCCGTTGCCCCCATCACCGCCAAGCCAACCCCTCTGGCCTCTCAAGGGCCCAGAGCAAAGCTGGGGGTGCGCAGGCCCCCTCTGCACTAGCTCCATCCAGTTGCTGAGCAGGAGACTCCCAACAGCCACCAGATTCACAACACATTAAGCAATGTTAACGAGACCTAATTAGCTTCTTGATGTTTAATTTCCTCCCTTTCGTGTTTAAACTGGTTCTAAAACTCCAGGTCTGTTCCCAGTCAATTCAGGATGGAAAATCCTCCCCATCTAAGTACCCCTCTCTCGCCACCCCCTGCCACTCCTCTGAGGGCTCCCCTGGGGGCATCTCTGCTCACGGGGCCTGGAGGTAAATACTGACGGAGTTTCAACAGGTCCAAGTCCTAGAGGAGTGACTGTGTGCACACCTACCATCGGATGGCGAGGGTGGGAGGGGCAAGGGAGGTGCGGCAGAGGACTGGGCAGGCGGCTGGGCACTCCTTGGAGGGGGAGGCAAGCGCTGCAGTGAAGCTGGGCCCTGGCTCCCTGCAGCAAGCAGCCAGACAGCTTTGAACCCGCAGTGGGAAGGATCGAGGCTAAGACTGGGTTTCTGAAGGGCTTAGCAAGGGCACCGGGACCAGAATGGGCAAAACGGCAAGAGACTCACGTCCAGAAATAGCCACGTCAGAGGAAGGTGGGCCGCGTGTCTCGGGGTCGAGGAGTGGCAGAGGGACAGCGCTGCTGGGGATACACCCGTGCTGTCCCCGTGAGCTGTGGGCCTCTCCACGCCCGCCCTGGGCTCTGGGTCTCCAGGTTCCCACGTCTCTCCTGACCAGCATCCTTCACCAGATCTGTGACCATGTTGGAGGAGCCTGCATTCCCCTTTCTTGGCCTGAGTGCTCGTATCACCCACGCACACGGTGGTCCTCTCTCCACTCCACCCTGGAGGGGGTCCCAGCTTCCAGCTGACGCAGCACACAGCTGCTGAGCCACATGTCCGTGAACTGGACGCTTGGCGCTCCGGAGGGAAGTGGAGGCCGGGCCTGCCTGGCTCGGCTACCCTGGCCGGGCAGCCTTCCCGTTCCATTCCCGCCCACCACACAGACCCGGTAGTGGATGAGAAAGCACCTGCTGAAGGCCAGATGCCGTGGGCGGGTACAGGAGGGAGGTGCGGGCGGCCCCCAAGCCCGCTCCCCAGCTGATTTCAGTTCCTCTCCTCCGAGGAGGTGTGTGTGTGTGCCAGCGTGTGTGCGAGTGTGGACCGCGTGGCCACCCTCCCTCTTCCCCTCCCCCAGCCGCAGGGGAGTAGTAACCAGAAACAGGAAGTGAAATGAAGCAAAACCAAGAACTGAAACCCACCTAATCTCTCACCCACGGCCCCTTCTAGAGGTTGCCCCAGGGCTCTGACACTAAAGACCGAGGGCAGAGTGGGGTCTGAATCTGAAAATGAAGGACTCTGGGGAGAGGCCAGCAGGAACTGGGCCCGCAGGGAAAGGGAGGGGGCCACCGCTGACGCCATTTCTGAGCGGCGCATGCCTATGAGGCCGAGACCAGTTTTCTAATTCTGGAATCCCCAGCAGCCCCTGGAACCTAAGTGCCCTTCATTTTGATCCCTGGATCTGTGGACGTCAGCACCAACAACAAGGGCTCAAGGCACTTTCTTCCGGGAGTGGCCTGTGTTGGGGGAGGCGGCCTGCTCCTCCCTTGGGGGCGACCCATCCAGCCCCAGCCCGTAGGGCAGGCAGACATCGAGAGACAGCACTTCGTGGGGGTCCAGGTCTTTAATTTTCCCTGCTTTATCTCTTTTCTTTTCTTTTTTTTTAAACAATCAAATGGACAGAAAATGGCTGGGGCTGGTGGGCACTGGGGGTCCACTGGAAAATCCCCCAAATTCACGCTGAGGTTTCAGTCATGGTTGCTGAGGTGGGGATGAGGTCAGGGTTCACAGAGATTTCCCAACTCACCCTACAACATGTTTTCCAAACGGCTGGAGAAGAGGTCAGAGTAGGTCCCCCGTTACTGCAGATGAGGGGACGCCGTCCCCCCACCCCTCAAGCTCTTCCGATAAGCGGAAATAGAAGGCTGTGATTTCTAATTGCCTACAATCATCTCTTAAAAATACAAAACACGTGCAGCTGGCTTTGGTACAAAAAAGAAAACAACAACAAAAAACATTCTGGTCCCGTGGGCTTTCCCCTCACCCCCCAACAGAGCCATTGTGGCCCCTCGACCTCTACTCCATCGCCTCCGACCCCGGGGTGGGGGTGGGGGGGCTCCAGGGAGGGTGGAGAGAAGGGAGAACAGCAGTTAGCGGGGGAGGGGAGGGGGCATGGCCCCGCCCACAGCCCTTCTGGAAGGGTCTGGTGGCGCAGCAGCCTCTCCTCAAAGATGGTGTTGCTGGGGAGGGGTGTCGGGGCTAGAACCCAGCAGCCGCGGGGTTAAGCCTGAATAAACCCCAGTAGTGTTACAGGACAAGGCCCCCTGGTCCCTATGGCTTGGTTCCCGTGTCCCTGGTCCTCTAAATCTCCCCACTCCCTGTGTAACTAATAAACAATAAATAAATAAATTTTCCTAAAGTAGAGGGAAGAAGGCATGAAAACGTGGCATCTGTGGTGTAGCTCCTGGATGCCAGCAGGGGGCACTGTGGCCCAAGCCCCCCCCCAGCTTCCTGGGGGCCCCAGGTGTCCAAGGAGCCCAAGAGCTGGCAGGGGGTCAGCAGTTCTTTCGAATGTTCCCTCGCCATTGGCAGGTTGGAGTCCCCAAAGTTTTGCCTCCCTCGCTGTGTTCCTCCTTGGGGCACCGGATGGGGGTGGGGCCCCCTTAGCTCTCTGAAGCCACAGGCTCCCCGTCGCGACTCTCAATCTCTTCTGGGATGTCCTGCATTCGGGTGAAGTCTGAAAGGGGACAGGCAGAGTTAGCGGGAGAGCACAGGCTCCCTCGAGCAGCTGCACCCCTGCACTAACAGCGCCCCACCCAGGCCCAAGCTGTGAGGCGGCGGGTGGGCGGGAACCTCTGTCCGCAGAGTAAGTCATGTGCCCACACCTGCCTACTCTGTATCCTTCCTGAAGACAGGAAGATACACTGCAGCTAAGAACATACAAAATACTTTAAGATTATTACATAAAGTCACACTAGCTTTTGGTTTTTTTGTATTTCTTGAATCTACTATAAGAACTTTGACAGTCTTAGAAATTTCTTTTCCTTAGAAATCTAAGTTTAGGGGCGCCTGGGTGGCTCAGTCGGTGAAGCGTCTGCCTTGGACTCGGGTCATGATCCCAGAGTCCCGGGATCGAGCCCCCGCATCTGGCCCCCTGCTCCGCGGGGGGTCTGCTTCTCCCTCTCCCTCTGCCGCTCCCCCTGCTTGTGCTCGCTCGCTCGCTCTCTCTGACAAATAAAATAAAATCTTAAAAAAAAAAACAACAACCGACGTCTACTTGAAAAGGTTGGCATCACAGACTTACAGGAGCGGCTCCCACCTTCTTTGCTTCCTGGAGCGCTCGGCTGCCCGCTCGGCATCGGAAAGGGCAGCAAGTGAGTCCTGTGTGCCCCTCGCGAGACTTACAGAGTACGGTAGCCCTCGGCGGCGACTGCGGCCCCCTAAGTGTCCCCCTGCGCCAGCACACACAGCCAAGGGCGGCAGCCCACGTGCACCGGCGCCTCACCTCGCGGACTGTGGGGCGGGGACAGGCGGCTGCCCCCTTCCTCCTCGCTGCCCGTGTCGGCGTCGCTGCTGTCCTGCAGCCGCTCCTCGGGGCTGCCCAGCTCCTGTCTCTCTCGGTCCTCAAAGGGTCGATGGACAGAGCGAATGGTCACAGACAAATCCAGGCGGTCGTGGCCTCGGCTGGGCTGTGACGGGCCGGCAGGAAAGGCAGCAGGCCAGGGAGTGAGCTCAGCCGGGCGCACCACCGCCGGCGCTCGGCGCCCCGCCACCTCTCCCCGCTCTCCAGCCGCAGCCTAGTGCTCCGGGCGCAAATCCCCGCCGCCGCCGCCGCCCGGCTCGGCGCGCCCCGCGGGCCCTCGCGCCCTCCCAGCTCAGCGCCCCCGAGCTTCCTTACCTGCGGGGGCGTGAAGCTCAGGTACAGGGCGTCGCCCGCAGGCAAGCTGCGGCGCCGCGGGTCCAGGGGCCTGCGGGCCCAGGGGGCCTCCGCCGGGGGCGGCTCGCTCTGGCCCAGGGCGGCCAGCTGCCTGCGGGCCTCTTCGGCCTCCCGCTCCAGCCGGGCGCGGGCCTGCTCGCTCTCGCGGAGCCGGGCCTCCAGGCTGCCGGCCTCTGTGGCCCGCTCCTCGCCCAACCGCCGGCAGCGCCGCAACTCCTCCTGCAGCAGAGCGTGTTGCCGCTGCAGGAGCGCCAGCTCGGTGGCCTGCTTGTCCGGCGCCGCGGGGGCGGGCCCGGCTCGGCCGGCCTCTCCGTCCCGAGAGTTGGCGCGGGCCAGCTTCTCCCGCCGCTCGGGGCCCTCGGGGAACCGCGCTTCCATCAGCGTGTCCTGCTGCGCCACAGCCGCCTGGGGGCGTAAGGGGCACCGGCAGGTGTATCAGAACCCTGGCTCCCCGGGGGGCCCAGGTTAGGGCTCCCCGAGAGCTCCACCCCGGAAAGGCCCTGCAGGCGCGTGAACAGGCAGCCCCGCTCTCTCCCCCACTGCCCATTCTAGCGCTGGCCCCGCTGACCTGGAGGCCGTGCAGAAGTCCATAGAGATTGACCAATCGCTGTAACGCTTCCTGAGGACAGAGGAGAGGGTGGGGACAGGGCCCAAGCTTCAGGATGGGAGAGCTGCCCAGAGGGTGACCAAATGTGGGTTTGGGGACAGCAAGCCTCCAGACACTCTCAGATGTCGACTCTCCCCAACACCACCCCACACCGGGGCCCGATTTCTCAGCCACAACACCCTCCCTTTCAGTCGGCTACAGCAGCGCGTTCCCACCTCACCTCCTGGGGGGCTCTCAACTGATTTCCATTCCGGTCCTGCAGAGAGAGGCAAGGATGGGGGATTCGCAGGCGCCCGTCCCCCACAGCTCTGTGTCCGGGGTCCACGGGCCGGCTGCCCCTTCCCGCCCTCTCACGAGCCCTGGTACCTCTTGCAGACCCACCTTCTGGCTGGAGTCTGAGTCGGTTCGGCAGAGCTCAATCGAGCCATTGAAGGTTCTGGGCTCACCATCTGTGGAGAAGGGGAAGGACAGGCTGAGCTCAGGTCCTCAGGGCCTGGCCCCTCCCTCCCACCCACCACCGTGGCCCCAGCCCAGGCACTCACTGGCAGTGACCCCAGGACTCGTGCTACCGCCGCCATCCGGGTCCACGGGCAAGGCTGGTTCCCGGGGTGTCAGGAGCAGTTCTACTCCAGGCCCCACCAGGAGGTCTTTCAGACCCTCCACTACAGGGAAGGGGGGAGGTAAGCCCAGGAGCCACAAGGAACCCTGCAGGGAACGGCAGGGTGCCTTCCACCCAAGGCACGCATAACAGTCAGCCGCCCAGGGGCCCTCACTCATACCACCCCCCCACAAGGCAGAGGTCACTGAAGGGCACCGAAGAGGCAGCACAAACATATGCAGGACAAGGTGTCAAACAGTAGCAAGGACTGTGCCTCCCCCGCCCCACCCTGGCCTTCCCCACACCTGGCGCCCCAGGAAGTTTATGGACACTGGGGTTGTGTGTGTCCACGTGTAGTCACGTGTCCCTATTCTGTGAGGCCGAGTGGATGGCCCTGGACTCCTCCCTCAGGGCTCCCTCACCCTCACGGATGGCATCCTGCAGCAGCCGCTCGCCACGGGGGCACTCCAGGGACTCGGAGCGGAAAAGGCCCCTGGGTAGGGCAGGCAGGGTCAACCCACCACCGTCTTCCTCCACCTGGAAATGGGTCATCTCGGCGAACAGCCCGACCTTCTCCTGCAGCAGCTCAACCAGGGCCTGGTCTTTCTGTTGCAGCTCCACTGTGGATACGGAACAGGTGAGCACAGGGTGGGGGTGGGAGGGAGGGCGGTGTTATGGGGGGAGGGGGCGCAGCCAGAGAGCCGTGCTGGAAGGGCGGCCCAAGGGCCTGGGGGCCACGGCTGGGCTGAGTGTAGTACTTAATTCCGGATTTTTGGCATTTATGAAAAAGAAAACACTTTTTTTTGGAAAAGTAATATATGAACTTTTTTTTTAAGTAGGCTCCATGCCCAACATGGGGCTCAAACGCACGACTCCAAGATCAAGAGTCAAAGGCTCTACTCACGGAGCCAGCCAGGTGCCCCTGGACTTTTATTGTAAAAGCAAAACTAACATGATCTGTGGCCGGAACTGCAGATGCCCACAACTTTCATTCTCCCATCTTCCTTTAATTGGAGAGTCCATACAAATTTCATGTGGGACTAAACTGTGGTCAACGGACATGAGTGTCTCTCCGGATTGGCCCTTAAAAGAAAAGGGTATAGAGGCACCTGGCTGGCTCAGTGAGTGGAGCGTGTGACTCTTGATCTTGGGGTTGTGAGTTTGAGCCCCACCTTGGGTGTACAGACTACTCAAAAATAAAATCTTAAGGGGCACCTTGCGGGCTTAGTCAATAAAGCATGCGACTCTTGATCTCAGAGTCATGAGTTCAAGCCCCACATATAATAGGTTTTATATTTATAAATATAAAATATACATTATATATATATAAATAAAATAAAATACAATCTTAAAAAAAGGGTATAAACTCTCCCTGTTCCCTTCCACCTCCCCGCTAGCTGGGATGCAGATGTGACAGCAGGAGCTACAGTAGCCACTTTGGACAGGGAGGTGGGGAATCTCTACGATGAAGATGGCAGAGGTGTACTGACTACCCTGTACTTCCCACTTGTGGACTATAGAGAAACGATCTTCTACCTTGTTTAAGAAACTGATTTTTGTTGGTCTTTTTGTATAGCAGTTAGTTCATACTCTAATAAAAGTAAAAAAAGTAGATTAATGTCTCAACCCTGGTCTTCCCAGATCTCCTTCTGGAGATACTACACACACACACACACCTACCACATGTGATACATACCCTATCCCCGTTATTTTTACACCAGAGGTAGCATACACCCTATGTTGTGTTAAACCTTGCTCTTTTTACTTCACACTACATTCTGGTTATGGATCTGCATCAGCCCTCCCCAGCATTGGCACATTTCAACCAGTTCCATCGTATTCCATCGTGGGGATGTATTATAAATTATTTAACAAGCTCTGTGGGTGGACTCACTCTTGATTCGGCGCAGGTAAGCCTCGTGCTCTGTCTCAATCAGGGGGAAGTCCTCTCTGGATGGGCATCTAGAGGGGTAACAGGTTGGGTGGGGTTGAGAGATCAGGAATCAGCCTCCTTCCTGAACATGCTCGGTGCCTCCCTGTAAGACTCACCAGCCCCAAGCCCTGGCCTCACTCACTCCCGACCCCCTGCTTTCCTTCACACCCATCATCCGAATTTCCCGGCGCGTGTGCCTCTCCACAGGCCACCTGTGCGGGTTGCACCGCAAGGACGGGTACTACAGTCTTGGCGTGAAGCAAACTGGGCCTAAATCCAGGCCCCACTATTTACCCGATGGTAGCCTCTATTTCTCATCTGAAAAATGGGTATGATATCTTTCTTCTTCACTGGCTGTTTTTTGTCAGAGTTAAATGAAAAAAAACATAATAATGCTTTGAACACGGCAGAAGCTTGATACATCGAATACAGAGTATTAATTATAATTTTCACAATGATAGACATTAATACTGTTAACAGAGAGGCCCCCATGGATCTACTGCCAATAGGACAGGTATTTGGCATGGTTTTCCTAGGACAGGCAAGGTCATACTTGGGCATGCATTTCTGAAAAATCTGTTCAAAAGTCTAAACTGCAGAAGTAAAAAAAAGAAAAAGTTTACATGTAACAAAGTGGAGAAAATCCATTTCTAAAAGCTAAAAAAATTGACAACTATCCTGAGTTTCTTTTTTTCGCATAATCTTCAAGAATCCGTTTTGAACGCTCTACATGCATTTTCCTTTTTTCATCAAAAGAGACACACAGTCGAGGGCCTCAAATCCCACGTACGTCCCCCAGAAGCTCGAGGTCGGCTGCCTTATTAGCATATGGAATGGTTTCCTTCTTGCCTCGACCGTGGGGGTTTCGCTCTAGTCTCAATGACTTCATTCCCTTGTTCATTTGTTTTTAGAAAATAATGGTAAAATGCAATATGATCCAAGTAACTGCCCACTGCCTATAGCCCGAGGTGTTCCTGCCCATGAGAGTGTCCTGCAGGTCGGCAGGCGAACCACCACGGGATGGCTCCAGGCGGTCCCTTTGCTTGCCAGCTCACACTCCTGAGAGGTGCTCGGGGTTGTCGCGGCATGAAACACATAGGATATGCCGGCCCAGATGACCTCTCCTGCCCCAGGCCACCTTGCTCCTCCCCCAGCCCCGGCCTCCCCCTCTGAACCCTGGGCTCTTTCCCCAGGGAGCGCTGTGGCCTGGGGCCCTAAGCTGCAGGATCCCGGAGGCCATGCACACTCACACGCGCACACTCTGCTGAATGACTCGGATCCAGGTGCTCCGGTCATCCCGGGATGCCGTGTGGACCTCATACATCTCAGGGGGTGTGGCGCTGATCAGAAACATCCCTTTCTCCTGGTTGGCGATGTCTCGCACAATTAGATTCTGCAGTGATACCACCGAGGGCTTGTCCTGTGGGTCAGAAAGGAAAGACTCAGCCTGGGAGCCCTGACCTGGGGCATCTGGGTCTTCAGTCTTTCTGCAGTACCCGAAGGACTGAAGAGCCCACCTGCAATATAAATTTAGAGCCTCAGCATTGGTGCGGCCAGAGGGCACTTGGGAGCACATGTGACCTCTGACACGTTATTGACACTAAGGTTTATCGGGGCGCCCAGCTGGCTCGGGCGGGGGAGCGTGCGACTCTTGATCTCGGGGTTGTGGGTTCCAATTCCACGTTGGGGGTAGAGATTGCTAAAAAAATAAATAAACTTAGTGGCTCAGTCGGTTAAGTGTCTGCCTTCAGCTCAGGTCATGATCCCAGCGTCCTGGGATCGAGCCCCGCATCGGGCTCCCTGCTCAGCGGGGAGTCTGTCCCTCTCCCTCTGCTGCTCCCCTGCTCGTGCTCTCTCTCTCTCGAATGAATAAGTCTTTAATAACAATAATAACAATAATAATAAATAAATAAACTTTAAAAAACACACACATTAAAAAAAAAGCCTTTAAGGTTCACTTTCCTCATTGACAAACAAGGGATCACAGCGGGCCTTCCTCGGTGTGGAAGTGCCCGCACACAGCGTTAGCTGTTTTTATTCCTCCCAATATTGTAGCAACAGTCACACTCATCGCCACTTGGCTCTGGGGGATTCTTGGGGTCCTTCTGGCTTGGGCAGAAAAGCAAGCAGGGCCTGTGACACTTGTCTGTGCTGAGAAAGGAGGAGGAAGGTCTCACCAGGGCGGGAAAGATGTACTTCTGGTCCTTCTCCTGCAGAAACAGCAGCACGTCTGTCATCAGCAGCATCAGGACGTCTGGTGGGAGAGTGGCCAGGATCAGAGGCCCGCGCAGCGGCCTGCCTCGCTCTCGGGGGCCAGGCCTGACAACTCTGTCCCCGGCCTCTCTTCCCTCTGGCTGCTTCCTCCTCCGTTTGCAGCCGCCCACCTGCCCGTTCCTACAGCTCAGAAATGCCAGGGGGAGAGGTGCCTGTGCCCACATCAAACAGCTTCTTGGCTGGAGAAGACTGGAGGGGGTCACCGGTGCATCCGAGGAAAACCCTCTTCACCCAGCTGAGGCCGTTTCTTAACCAGGGGACCACAGACCCCGAGCATGTCCACTGCTGGGTCTTGGGGGCTCTGCAAACCTCCCAAAGTTGCATAATTTTACATAGTAACATAACACGCACGTGTATTTTTCCGGGTAAAGGGTCCAGAATTTTTGTGAGAGTAAAAAGCATTCCCAGAGCAGGATGGGCCGCCCTTTAAATGCCATGCCTCGGGGCGCCTGGGTGGCTCAGTCGTTAAGCGTCTGCCTTCAGCTCAGGTCATGATCCCAGGGTCCTGGGATCAAGCCCCGCATCGGGCTCCCTGCTCGGCGGGGAGCCTGCTTCTCCCTCTCCCACTCCCCCTGCTTGTGTTCCCTCTCTCACTGTCTCTCTTTCAAAAAATAAATAAAATCTAAAAAAAATAATAATAAAAAAATAAATAAATGCCATGCCTCGCAGCTGACAGAAGGGCTTTCCGGCGACCTGACCTGAAACCCCCTGCCCGCACCTCCCGATGCTCAGGAGGCGGGGGACAGTCAGGCTTCACAGCCATCGCTCCCACGGCTGAATAATCCCCCGCCCCCAACCCTAGAGGCCTCCTTCACCGCCCTTCCCTGCCCCACCTTCCAGCCGCTCCGCTCCTGAGTCCTGCATTTTAACACTGGGGGGGACACGGACAAAAGGTCAAGTCCCTAAAACCCAGAGGTCACAGCCAAGAAAAGACATGCTCACCCTTTGCCCTTGGAGATCTTACTAAACTGTGGGCACACAGAGGGGAGGGCTTTTGCTAAATGCTTCAGAAATAAAGCTCTCCAGCCTTACTATTTTTAACCCCCACAGTTTATATTCTTAGCTGCTGCGTGGGAGGGATGGGAAAGACAGAAAGGGATGAAGGAAGGCGCCAGTAAAGCACTGCCATCCCCCAGCCCGTGGAGGGGGGTCACGACATGGGACAGCGGGCTCAGGCAGCCTCCGGCCTGGGGAGTGGTTTCACTCTGGCCCTCACTCCTCACCCCCAAAGCCGTGGCCTGCTACTCTCCTTCAGGTGGGGAAGACACGGCCAGTGCGAGCCGGGGAGAGGGGCCCTTCTCTCTTCTCCAACGCGCCTGTCCTTCGCTGGCTCAGTTCCCTGCCCCGGGCCTTCCTGGCTGTCTTCCCGAAGCCCGCTCTGCAGCCCCGCGAGCTGCCCCGCTCTAGCCCCCTGGTCCTGGGGTTTCTCTGTCTTCCTCGTCAAACCCGTAGCTCTCTGCGCACGCAAGGACCCACCCTGACAGGGAAGCCCTGTGTGGCCCATGCAGTGAAATACAGAATTCGGACTGTGCTGCATTTCCCTGCCCCTGGGCCCCGGATGTCCGGCTGCAGAGAGAGGGCCCGCAGGCTGGATGCCCCTCCCTCTCCACGTCCGGCGCCGGGCCCCCGCTGGGCCCGCCACGCTGACCGCGGACCTTTGAAGCGGCCAGTTGCTGTCTTCCAGAGCAGGCAACCATCGTGGATGAGCTTGCGCCGCAGAAGCTCCTCTCGGCCGAATGGGCCCTTGCCAGGCACCGGGGCCTGGGCCCGAGGGTCCATACGGTGGTAGATCTCTTGCAGGCGGGCTCCCTTCTCCAGCTCGTGCACATCCTGGTCCACGTTGGACAGCAGCTCCTTCACCAGCCCCAGTGCCGTGGTCAGGTCCTGGCGCTCCTCCTCGGTCCCTGTGCCGAGGGCCAGCGTGAGGCCCGGCTGGTCCGCTTCCATCCCGCCCCAGTTCCCACGGTGTCCGGACCCCACCATCACAGGTGGCCCCGGGCTCCACGGCTGACCCTGTCCTTTCCCTGGGTCACCTTTCCTCACCCCAGGGAGCCCTTCCCGCACAGCCATGCCCGGCCGGCTCCCTCACCGTGGGAGTGCTGCAGGATCCGGTTGATGAGCACCGGGTACTTGGTGATGCGCTGGGTCACCAGCAGGATGCACTCTTGTACCCCATGCCGCTTAAGCACAGCCGAGCGGGTCACCTTCTACAAGGGCAGAGGTGGGGCTCAGGGCCAGCGTGGGGCTGGGGGCGGGGTGGGGGCACGGCAAAGAACACGGCCCTTGGAGCCTAAGCTCTGGTGACGGCCCTAACTTGGCTGTTGACCTCCCACTGGCTTGGGTGACCGCATCTGGAAATGGGGAGCACTGTGCCCCGGGTTTCCTACGAGGACCAACCAGACAAAGAAGTGAACAGGGACTATCGCTCGCTCAGAGGGATTATTGTTGACACGCGCCACAGGGGTCAGTGGGAACCTGGCCTTTCGGTGGCAGCAGTCGCCATGCCCTCCAAGAAAGAGGAGGCGGGGTTTGGGCCACTAGGGGTGACTCTGGGCGTGAGTCCTGCAGAGGTCCGCTCACCCGGATGAACTGCTGAAACCTTTTGTCGCGGGCATACAGCTCCTTATAAAGCTTTAAGGCCTTGGTGTGGCGGCTGCAGAACTCCGAGTAGGTCTTACGCATCTGCTCCGCACTGGGACCTGAGAACTAGCAGTCGGGGCGCCGGGCTGGGTCAGCATGTCCCTCAAAGCCACACCCTATCCCCGGGACCCCCTCCGGCCTCCTGCCTCACCAGCTCCCGTGCCTCCGCCCCCCAGACTCCGATCACACCTTTGCCCTTGGATCTGGCCTCACCTGGGTGATGAGCAGGTCACCCAAGCGATGAATGACGAAGTTGCGGGTGCTTCCGGGGCACAGGGCCTGGCGTCGGCGCTCTAGCAGCTGGCTGAGGAAGCGCGTGTGGATGTCACTGAGCTCATCCGCACAAGGGAACAGCCCCTGCACCAGCCCCGGCTCGAGCTGCAGCTCTTCCAGCATCCCCGTGCGGAAGAGGCGGGTCATGATCTTCAGCGTCCGCACGTGGCGCAGCTCCGTCTGGATGAGTTCTGTGGGGCGACAGCTCGTTGGACCCGACTGTGGCTTGGCCACACTGGTCGGCCCGGCGGGGACCTCAGGGCTTGTGGGAGGTTCCTAAGGTCCCTTCCAGGGTGACATTCTGCACGGGTATGGTCTTAGATGATTCTTTAATCACGTTTTCTCTTTATGCTCTGCCAATCTCAGGCCGTAAGCTGTTTGGGGCAAGAACCACGCGTCCCCTCACGTCCAGGTTTCCCAGAGTCCCCAGCATGGTGCCAGGCGTGGAAGAGGCCAGGAGCAAAGGCGGAGAACCGACTTGAAGGGGTAAAGATGGGGCCTGGGAGACCAAGAGCCCCAAAAGGCGGGGGCCTTGTGGCAACTCGTGGGCTGGAGGCGGGGGTCTGGGGAGAGGGGGGAGCCCTGGCTGGAGGACGGTCACGGACAACTGGCCCTGGCTAGCAAGATCAGCGCGGGCGGTCTTGGCTCACCGTAGATGACATCCTGCTGCTTCATCACCTCCTTCTTCTGCTGCTGCAGGAAGCTGCTGTCCACGGCCAAGCTCCACGAGTCGGCTGCGAAGTCCCTCTCGTCTGTCTCAAAGTCACTCATCAGCTCGCTGTAGAGCACCTCTGCACCTGGACGTCGGCAGGGCCCACGGCTGAGCCCGACTCTGCTCGCTGGGTCCCGCCCCGCCCCCCGCAGGCCTCCCCGGGCCAGCCCTCACCTTCATCCATGAGGGACTCCACGGACAGGGCTCGGTTCCGCATGTTGAGGGAGTCTGTGGACTGGGACAGGATGCGGCGCAGCCCCAGGGGGGACTCGTCACTGAAGTGTCTGCGGGAGGAGAGCCTGTGTCACCCCAATGCGGCGGACAGGCCCCTCCCCAGACGGGGACCGAGGCTGGGGTCCGAGAGGCCACACCCTGGGTCCTCCTTCCCTGCCGACGGTTCTGAGCTCAGCGACAGGAAGGAGCCCCCAGGCCTCCTGGGCCCCACCGTCTGACCCCCCCCTGGCCGCCCCTTCCCCAAGCAGATGCTCACCCAGCGATGTTGGTGGTGGAGACACTCTTGGCTAGCGACAAGGAGGAGCGGCCGCGGCGGGAACCTAGCAGGGATTGCCGGAAGCTGTCGGAGGGGTAGATGGCAGAGCTTGGCCGCTCCCGGGGGGTGGCTGGAGGGGGGACAGCGAGCAGGCAAACGTCAACGCTGCTGCTTCCCGCGATCCAGGCCTCCCAGGTTTGGGGACTAGAAAGGAGGCCTCCTCTGCGACCCCACCCCCGCTGGGCTGCTAGTCGAGGAAAGTCAAGGAAAGTCGAGGAAGGGTCATGGCAGTGCCACCTCACACTCATGTGCTTCTTCTAACGCGCTCCTGGCTCATCTCGTCCCCGAAACAAGCCTATGAGCACACTGAAGCCCAGAAAGTTAGGGGACTCGTCCAGGGTGACTCTGCTGGTGGCGGAGGAGGGACTCAGACTCCGCTCATTGTGCGGCACCAAAGCGGTGTGCACGGCACCGGTCAGCAGTGTGCTCGGGCGACCAGCCAACCCTAGCCTCACCCCCGCAAGAATTCTGCCCTGCCCCCCGGCCCAAGAGGCTGGACATCCCTGAGGGCCACCATGCACTTCCAACCGGGGCGGCGGGGGGGGGGGCGGGGGCACCGTGTGGGGAACGACCTGCGGGGGGCAGCACAGCCCGCGGGCTGAGAGGCCTGGGGTCCCGGCAGGGGTCCCTTGGGGGGGGGTCCTGCACGGGGTCTCCTGCGCGCCCCCATGACTCACTCTTACTGCGAAGGGAGACGGACTGCAAAGCGGTGTTGTTCTTCAGCAGGGCAGCTTTCTGCTGCTGTGGGATGGAGCAAAAGAGAGACACCAGGGACAGGTGTCACCAAGGGTCTCCCCCACGGGCTCGGACAGGAGCTGGGCAGCTGGCCCCTCGGGAGAAAGCCGGCACAGTGGTCACGGGCATGAGGGTGGCCGAGCCCAGCGCTGGGGGATGTGTCCAGAGCAGCGGGCTGGCCGCACGGGGCCCGAGGCCTGGGGTGCAGGGTGTGGACGGCCCCACGGTGAGGAACACAGGGCGAGGAGTGAACGGGAAGGGCATACTCACTACCCTCTCCCCAGCCCGCTGCCCGCCGCCCTGCTGTCTCACCTTCTGCTTGACCTTGGTACAGTTGGCGAGCGCGTCTTTACAGCGGTTGTGGATAGTCACATTGCAGGCTGGGAGGGTGGGGTAGAGAGGGTGAAGGGGGGGCCGGGTGGTACAGGAGGGGACACACCCACATGCAGACACCCGTCTCCCCCTGGCCACGCCGTCTGAGACGCCCCTCTGCCCAGACCTTCCAGCCGCGGCCGGACCCGGCCCTCCCCACGCCTCCTCCTCCCCCTTCCTTCCAGCAGGAAATCAGGCGAGGGGCAGAGGTGGCCATCCTGACTCGTTGGGTGACCCGAGGGGTGGCCCGGAGGGAAGAAGGGGTTCCTGGCTGCCAGAGACGAGCTCAAGGAGCACAGGGGTGGCTGAGAGTGACAGATGGAAGACGACGCCCACGGGACAGAAGCAGGCACAGAGCAGCTGGGGTGGGGGCCAGGGGCAGGGGGCGGTTCGCACCCCCGAGCACCCAGCACGTGGCCCACAGTTACTTGATCCTAACAACCCTTTGGGGGTAGATTCAAGGATCTTCATTTTACAGATGAGGGGCCCGCCGCCCGGAGAGGTCAGCTAGTGGTGCAGCTGGGACTGAAACCCCGGCATGGCTGCGTCCGGAGGCCAGACCCTTGCTGCTGGGCCACACGTGCGCCCACGAACCGTGGCCAGGCCTAAGCAATTCAAAGGCTGCTGGACCCAGTGCTGGAGTGGGGACAGACCCTGCCCCGTCCTCCCCCAGAGCCTGCTGGCCTTCCCTGCGGCTCAGCTCTGACCCCTACCGACCCCCCGTTCCAGGCCCAGGGCAAACCCACAGCCCCCACGCTCTGACCGCCATGGGGTAGGAGAGGAGGAGTGGCCAGGCCTTGGCAGTGGGGCGGCTGGCTGTCCCTGTCCCCAACGTGCCTCGCCCCTCCCTCTCCTGCTCCCTCCGCTGCGTCCAACAACAGGAAACCCTGCGACTCCTGCAGACAATACCCAGCAGCAGGCTCACTTCCACAAATACAAGGCGGGCAGGGTGGGGTGGAGGGGAGGACTGGAGGGGGCTGGGGCTGCCCCACTCCCCTAGAGCTCCCTTCTTCTACCCCCAGCGCTTTCCACCTGCTCTCAAAATAGCGCTCGGCTCGCCGCCTGCCTCCCCGGTTCCCCTGGCAACAAGCTTCCTGCTGGGGAGCTCTGTCAGGTCTCGGGGGATCCAGCCTGGGGTTCCCTCCTCATCCTCCTAACTCCGAGATGGGTCATGAGGAAGCAGGGAGACCTCCCTGGCTCTCCAGGTGCGCAGGGACCGAGAGCCGGAGCGCCGGTCGCAGACCTCAGGGGGCCGCAGCTCGGCCACAGACTGGGGGGCAGGGGCCTTCTGTGCAGGCAGGCTGGCATCCTAGGGAAGGAAGACTGCCCTGCTCGGACTCCTAAATACGGGGCTGCCCTCCAAGGTGGGCGAAGGTCAGGAGCTCTGACCGCTGTCGCCCAACGCACACATTCCTGCTGTTTTCCCTCTTTCTCACGGTCTATCCGTCACACTGGAAATCTGAGACAGAGGGTCCTAATCCCATCCTCTACTTCAGACTGCAGAGACAAGCATTTCAGGCTCCACCCAGTGAAGAGAAAGGGAGGGGCAAGGGGACCCTGGAGTCCTGACCTTCCCGTTCTGCCCAGGAAGAAAGGCAGAACCAGGTGCAAGGCCGCGGCTGGCCACCACCCCCCCTCCACCAGCAGGACATTCCTGATCCTTCTCCAAGCAGTTCCCCTAACCGTCAGCAGCTGCTCCGGAGCCAGGGGACACCCAGCGGACAGCAGCTGCAAGGGGCGCCACCCCAGCCCCCGCCCCTGACTCCCCTACAGCCCTGCTGTGCCCCACGGAGGGAGGGAAGGGAGCGGAAGCTCCAAGCATCTGGCCCGGGGCCCCGCTGGGGCTCCCAGAGAGTGACCCTACGGATCCAGGGCAGAAAGGACAGAATGCAAGGTTAGGGTCAGTGGGCACCGAGGCAGAGTGACATTCAGGATCCACACAACCTACTTGGGCAGATGAGGGCCTCCTTGGCTGTGATGCTCTTGTTACAGGCATAGCACATGGTCATGCCCGAGACGGAGATGGTGGTGAAGAGGTGCCCGTTGGTATAGCGGGCATCCTTGGCTTCCTTCATCTTCTCCTTTTCCCGGGTCTGCGGAAGGGGTGAGAGAGACAGGAAGTGAGGCTGAAGGTGTCAGGTGCCCGGGGTGTCCAGAGACAGGCAGAGGGCAGAGGCCAGGGGGTGATGCCGGAAAGACAGCCCTTCCCAAAGAAGGGCCTGCTGCAGGGTGTCAGAGGCAGCTGTCCAAGGGGGCGCAGGCCGGCCCCTGACCTACCTGGCCCCGGCGGCTAGGCTGCCTCCTGTGGGCACTCATCTCCCCGGCTCTAGCCCAGTGTCCTCCCTGCACCTCCCAGCCCTGCTCTGCTCGCCCCCAGGCTGCTGTACGCTCTCCTCGGAGCTGGGGGAAGATGCGCAGAGAGGAGGGGGAGCGGGCGAGGCAGAGGGTGCCAGCTCACCAGCGCTTTCAGATCTAGGGGAGTTAGCTGCTCTTATAACCATGACAACGGGTGTTGGAGCCGGGCTCCGCAGTCACAGTGGGGGGGCCAGAGAGCCCCTCAGGAGACTGGCTGGAGGCCGGAATGCCTCGTTGCCACCCCCCAACCCAGGGGTCAGGATCCCAAACTGCCAGGGCCCCTATGGGAGGCTGGACCTGGCTTTGGTCTCTTGGAGGAAGGAAACTCAGCCCACGGGTCTCCTTCCTTCCGGCAGGAAGTCTGACTTGTATTCCTTATGCTACCCCCAGAAACCCGGGCGAGCTCCCACTCCTCCTGCTCAGCCGGCTCCCATCCCGAGTCCTTTCTGGCCTCTACCCTCTGTCCTCCGGCTGCAACACCCTTCTTTGGGCTCCAGCCTCCAGCAAGAGGGGGCACAGAGTACCCCAGAACCTCAGAGGCTGGGGGCCCCCATCCCTGCCGCCCCGGCAGCTAGCTGCGGGTCATTTCCCCCTCTCTTCTCTGTCCCCCAAGAGCCTGAGATGCCCTTCTTCCCACCTACTCCAGGACCTTCCTCGGCGGTCACCTCAGACCCCTGACGTTCCCCCCCCCTCCACACCGAGAGGGTAGCCAACAGGACAGGGCTGGCAAGCACACTCCCCACCCCCCGGACTTCCGAGCTTCCCAGGAACAGAGCGGGGTCCAGATTGCTGATGCTGAGGGCAGGCGCCCCAGCGTGGGGAACACTGGCTGGGGCCCTGGGGAGAGCCCTCGGCCTGGGCCTGACTTGGCTCGCCCACACGAGCAGCTGAGAGGCTGGTGGGGGAAACCACACTGGGCTGGTGCTAGGAGGGCACTCTGTGCTCCGGGCAGAAAAGGGAAGTATGTAGGAGCTGAGTCAACAGCATGGGGGCCAGAGGGTGCTGGGCCACAGTGCCTTGAGGTCCCCGGGCGGAGGGGGGGGGGTCCTCTCTCCCCTGGCTCCAGGCAGAAGCGCAGAAGCTCCAGCTTTGTCTGCTGATAAGCAAAGCCTGGAGGTCTTAGGGTCTTTCCCCACCACCCTCGCCTACTTCTCCCCTCTCCTCCTCCTCTTCCTATTTCCTAGTCTCCTCCCCTCCCCTCTGCCTTCCCCTTTACACCTCCTCCCCCAGTGGCTTCGCGTACTGCCCACGGCCTCTCCCTCTGACCTCCCCGCTACAGTCCACCCCATCCCCCACCCCCAGGCCTGGTTAGGGAAGCCCAGCCTTCCAGCCCCAGCCTCCAGCGTTCCGGGCCTCCTTCCTTCTACTCTGGTACCTACCTATCTGGCCGCTAGAAAATTCTCCCTGTGGTCTAACTTCCATCTGTCTTGCTCCAAATTATAGCTCCTTAGGTCAAATCCCCTTCCGAATGACGGGGGACCTCAATGACCAGGTCCCAAGGTCTCTCCTCACTGCCACACCCCCTCTCTCCTGTCCCGCACTCCCAGCCTTCTCTGGGACGCAGATAACTTGGAGCACTCACTATGCTTGCATTGAAAGCATCGGACCAGCCAACATGGAAAAGAACACGTCTGGGTCAGGGTGAACTCCAGAAGGGGAGGTGCTGGAGATCGGCCCTAGCTGCTCCAAGTCCCCACTCCCTCCACCCTCAGGTCTCTGCCCTCCAGGCGCTAGGCCTCCTGGACACTCACCTGGGAAAGAGGTGGGAGGAGGAGGGAGGGCGGAGGCAGCCAGAGCACAGACTGTCTCGGGTCCTTCCCTCCCTGGCATCAGTGGCCCACAGAAGACACCGAGGCTCTGGGCCCAGTGTCCCCTGCTCCCCACACTCAGCCTCTCGCTGAGGGACCCCCGGCAGCCGCAGCAGCAGCACGCCCCACCTTGGCCACTGCCCCGCAGCCACGGCCCTGGCACTGCCTAGCGCTATTGTCCCCGCGCAGTCTGTGCCGGCCCCAGCGCCCGGCCGGGAGGATGGATGGACGCAGGGCCGGCCACTGGGGAGGGGGGGCTGCTCCCGAGATGCAGTGAATGGGCTTTGCTTGGTTCTATCCTACTGTCTTCCAGGCATTCTTAAGATGGTCCCGCTGGGCTCCTATGTACCCGCCCACCCGCAGGACAGCACTTCACCTCCATGCCCCAACCCCCGCAGCGAGACAAGGGCCTGATGCCCAATCCACACGGGCCACCCCCACCACCCCGCAGCCCTTCCTGCCCGGTTCAGTCCTGTCCTGCCCAGCCAGCGTCCAGCCCCTCCTGCTCGCAGGGCCTCACGGAAGCTTCTCCGGCTGCATCAGGAAGCGGTGAAGAGGGCATTCAAAAGCACCTGGCTCGACAGCCTATACAACAGGCAGTCGGCGTGCGCTTGGAAGGGAAGGCAGGATGTGGGTGGGAGGGCGGACGAGGGACACGGGGTCCCAGCGGCACCCTCACCCTGCGCCATTAAAACCCCGTCTCCCCGTCTCACTTCTCCTCTGCTTTCTATGAGCTCAGGCCCTGGAGGGTTTCCTCCGGAGGCCAGAAGAGGCCAGCCCAAGCCTTCCCTCCATTGTCTTTCTAGATCTTGGTCACTTTGGGGGAAGAAATTCAGGTGAAGGGCAGAGGGCACTGTAGCTGGCGGCTCAAAAGCTCCGGGGCAGAGAGAGTCTGCCCCCTAATAGGCACCTTGCCTCCCATGTGAGAAACATGAAGAAGGCAATCCCAAAGCCTGGCTCCCTGGGCTCCCCGGCGGGCAGCAGGGATGGCAGAGCCCCCCCAGGAGGGCCAGCGCCAGTCCCCGCAAGGCCCAAGCGCTCAGCGGTACCTGCTCCTCCATCAGGGATGTCCACACCAAGACCTTGGGGGAAGTCACGAGGTGCTCGGAATCACCTCTACTCCCGCTGAAACTTGCAGCAGCCCCTTCCCCGAGATGCTGAGGCCTCTGTCTGGTGACCAGAGGGCCCCCAAGGTCCCACTGGGGTTGCACTGGGATTCAAGTCACCTGCGGCTTAGCCCCTGACCAGCAGGGGTGCAGTCATAGGCTGCAAAGGGCCCTGAGTCCTGGGGATGAGCTTTGGGCTGGGAACTGGTGGGGGGGGGGGCGACAGTGGGTCCCTGGCCACAGGACTGAGAAGAGGGCTTGGGATGGCCTCAGCCAGGCTCTGCTCCTGCATCAGCTTCCAGGGACAAGATGAAGGCAGCAGGCCAAGGAGAAGGTGGCCAAACTGAAACGCTAGCGCCAAAGCCAAAAACATAACACAAAAAGCCACCACTGAACACACAAAGGCACTTAATAAATACTCGCTTGATGAATGAGGATGAGCCCCAGACAATGGGGGTGGGCGCACTGGCAGGCAGAAGAGGGGCACTAAGGGCCATGGGGAATAAAATCAGGCCAGGCGCCCTGAGACCCAGGCATCCTGGCCCCCAGCCTGCCCCCTGCCTGGCCACACCTGTCGGGTCAGGAGAGAGACAGCAGAGGGGAGGGGGGGAGGGCGAACAGACGGGCATTTGTGCCGGCGAACAATAGCTACCAGGACTCCCTGCCCTCCTGGCACAGGGCAGGCCGGCTGGCTTGGGAGGGGGCAGCTGCTGCTGGCACCCCTCCCCCAGGAGACACAAACAAACCCAGAAGGGTCCAGCCAGCTCCTCTCGTCCATTTCTCTTACCAGCTCCAGGCGCCCTGACCAATCTGCTCGCTCAGGCTCCTAGTCCGCCCTCAAACCAGACACGGAAGCTAAACATGGAACTACTTCCAGAAAGCACGAGCCCTTAATCTGGTGACCACCGCTCAGAACAGTGACCCCGAGCATCTGGGGACAGACAGACACACACACACGTACCCGAAACAGGTCCCACGCGTGCATGGGAGTCACACATTCACATCTGTCCCCTCCCGGATCCAAGGTCGGTTCCAGGCCCCTCTCAATCCTCTGCTGAGCCCAGTCGGCCCTTCCCCAGACATAAGCAACCCCCTGCAGCACTCAGTGACTTGCCCCCCTCAGCTCCGTCCCAAACCTCCATGGCCCCCAGCATCTCTTCCTGTGCCCCTACAAGCTTCAACCTCCTAGGGAGCCCCAGCTCCTGCAAAACTTCCTGGCAAACTGCTAGGCCGGCCAACCCCTCCCTGCTCGCCCACCCCTCCTCTCTGGCTCGGCTCCTCTCCCAGTCTGTCCTGCACACAAAGCCAGCCACCTCTCCTTACTCAGAACAAAGAAGTCGCCTCTCCCTCTCTCCCACTCCACCTGCCCCACACACTCCAGGGCCGGGGTCCTGGAGACTCCACGGGGACCCCAGCCTCCGGAGCCATCCTGGAGGCGCCCGCTAACCCCTCTCCTAGACAGGAAAGGACCCTTTGTTCTGAGAGGTGTGAAGGTTAGGATTTGGGGGAGGAAGGGGAAGAGCCGGGGGCCAGAGGTAAAGGGGCCTGTGGGGTTTGGGCCTGGGAAGGTAGGAAGCAGAGCAGAGAGAATGAGGAGTGGAGAGGAGGAAGGGGTGACAAGACGAGAAGCGTGGGGAGGGGGCCCCACAGCCTTGGTGAGGATGGGGAGAAGAGGTATGCTCCCCCCAGATTTCTCTTTCTCTAAGGAGGCTCCCAGGTGTCAGGCAAGGAATGTGCCAGGGGCGTGGGCTCAGGGCTTGGTCTGACCCATCCTTCCAAATAGGTAGCAGGGGAGACCATCTTCCTCAAATAATCTCATTTCCAGCAGGGCCCCCTCTACTTCCCACCGCAGTATAAAAAGAAAGGAGACAGCTGGTGTGCTGGGGGAGGGGGGTGGGGGGATCCAGGGTTTGTTGGCCAAGCACCAACTCCCCCCTTCTGTAACCACAGCTTTCCGGAGGCGGCCCTCCCCTTCCGACCAACCCAAACCGACAACCACCCTCCTCCAGGGGCGCTTTGCCCTCAGATCCACCCACTCAGCCCCCCCAACCCTCCACTCCCCAAACCAAGGCTCGCTGGACAGAAAGAGCCAAGCTTCCGGAACCCCGGGCCCCCCACCACTAAAAAGACCAAGGCATGAGGACCCAGGTATCTGGCACCCCAGCTCCTCCCAATGAAAAAAGATCCCAGTATCTACCCTCCCAGAGCCCCTCTCTACACCCCTCTCCAGGTCTGCCCCCTACGGCTCCCTCTTGGCTTTCCTTTTTAGGGTGGAACCAAATTTCCGCGGTTTCAAAAAATCTCTCCGCACCCCCCCCCCACCCCTGGCTCTACTCCAGGGTCTCAGCTCAAACGGTTGAAAAATAAACAGACTTTCAGGGCTGGGGCCTGGCCCGGGCAGGGGTGAGAGGAGCCCAAGCCGAGCGCAGCCCGGCGGCCGCCCACGTCTCCAGCATACTTCCTGTCTTAGGCCCTACTCAAATCCCTAGTTGCTTTCCTGTTGGCACAATCTCATCCCAGCCCCTGAAGGAAAAGTTCCAGGATGGAATCTCTCCCAACTTAGCCTCAAGACAGGTAGCCAGGCTAGGAGCTAGGAGGGAGGCGGGGGGGAGAGCTTTCCACCATCTTCCGGGGCTCCCAAAGGGTACTGCCCCCTTTCCGGGAGAACAGTGGTGGTGACAAGCACAGGCAGGGACCCGGGGCAGGGCACCGGGGTCAGAGGGAAGCCAGAGATTAAACCAGCCATTGGTGGGGTCCTGTCCCTCCTGATAATGGGTACAGTGTGGGTGCCCCGGCAGCTGGGAGGTGCCCTCCGCAAGCGCCAGCGCTCCCAGCTCTAACTTGCGCACCTACACCTCATTTCCTGGGGTCTGGGGTGTGCAGAGGTCATGGCCTTTGAGAGTGGGCCTGGGTACAAAGAAAGGATAAAGGATACTTGGGAAGGAGTGAGGGCCAAGGATAATTACACCCCAGGCTCTGGAAATAGTAGGTGAATGGGTCCCAAGATGAAGCGAGGAGAGCGGGGAAGAGGAGGGTCAGAGGCAAAGTGCCGGCGGGCGGGTCAGCCTAAGGCTTCACGCCGGGAGAACAGGGGACTCGGAAGCCGGCGGGCCAGACAGGGTCGGGGACCTGAGACCCCCTGTTCCAGAAACAGGTGTGCTCAGGACCCCTAAGGGCGGAGGAAAGGGTCCCAGCGACACAAAGACCTCTGCTCCCGGCGCCTGAGGGTGACGGCTCGGGGAGGAAGTGCGTGGTCCCTCCGCCGTCCCGACCCCAGCCACCCGCCCACCCGAGGGGAGAAGTGAATCACAGCTGGAAAGTCCATTTGCCGGGGGAGGAGGGGCTGACTTTTGTCTCGGGGGGGAGGGGGGAGCCGCGGCGGCGGGGCAGGCGGGAGGAACCGGGAAACCGGCCCTCCCGGGCCCTGCGCCGGATGGCGGGGACAAAGGGGGCCGACCACGCCGGCGACCGCGGGGCGCGGGGCCCCGGGCCGAGGGGTGCCCACCCGACCACACGCGCGCCTCCCTCCTCCCGCCCGGCCCCTGCCCGGAGCAACTTTCTTCCGGGGCGGCAGGGCCGGGGGGTGCGGGGGCTGGAGGGGGCGACGCGGCGCGATCGGTGCGCCCCCGGGCCCCGGCACTCCCCCACCCCCACCTCCTACCCCGGCCCGGCCGCCCCGAGCCCACCTTGCTCGCCAGCTCCCGGCTCCGCTCGGTCCGCGCGCGCGTGAGCGACTCGATCCGAGACATGGTCGGGGCGGCGGCGGCGGGCGGTCCCGGGACAGGAAGGTGGCTCGCGCGCGCGGCCCCGCGCAGTTCCTCAAACGCGAGCCTGCCCGCGGGCCCGGGGGCGG